AAATTTTACAATAATTAAAGAAGAGCTAAAAAATATATACACTAGCAAACCATTTAACACTTTGGAAATTAGTGAAAAATTATCAAACCTAAATCTTAGTAAATCTGTTGGTATGGAAATTCCAAATGATATTTAACGATTATTTGTTTTTTATTCTTTTGTTAAATATTTTTTTAAGTATTATAGGATAAATAATATCATTTAAATTTTTTTTTCGTAAAAAAAAAATAAATAATTTGTAAAATCTAAAATTTTATAGTTATTTAGTACAGAGATTAACTTATGGCAAAAAATTTACGACCCAGTTCTATAATTTAGTAACGGTTCGAATTAGGTTATATATAGTCAAACTACTAATTCGAAACCTAAATGGTTTGGCTTGACCGGTTTAACATCTCTAACTAACAAAGGAATTATATATTGAACGGATTCACATAACGATAATGAAAAGACTGAACAAATCGAACAGTTTAAATAGTATAAACTGTTTGAACAGTTTAATAGGACCCCGGATAATAGTAATAGAGGTGGGGTTATTAAATGGACATGACTTTTTAAAATTTTTCAGTTTATTTTTTTTAAAAAGGCTTCTTCTTTTTTTATGAATAGCGTCCCATGATGTATAAAATCAAGGGGGTTAAATAAGAAAAAAAAAAAAAAAGGCTTTTTAAGTAAATCTAATATAGTAAATAAAGTAACAGTACTTAAAGTGGACATAACTTTATTAAAATAAAGGATTTTACTAAAACGCACCTATGGTGTTTTACACCATAGGTCCCTATTTCTCAAAAACGTACTAAGTAAACAAAAAACCTCACGAAAACCGAGATCGGAACCTTATATTAGCTCTATATTATATAATAAAAAAATAATAATAATTCTTAATACCCGAACCTAACCTAAATTTTATTAAAAACAATTATATATGGTGCTAAAACACCATAGGTGCGTTTATAATAATTGAAAATGGATATCCGATATTGTAAAAAAACTCATATACCCGGGGTGTCATCCTATATTTTGCCAGCATTAAGCTTAGTGCAGGCAAAATTCGAAATTACACCCCCTGGACATTATATTAATTTTGAATTTGATTGGCTAGATAGTTCGTAATAATTAATCTTCATTTCAAGTTTTTTTTTACTGTGTTCTGATTCTTCTGCAAGCGAGCTCTGTGTAGTTAAAGTCGTGTCGTGATCAAGTTAAAAAGCTTCTTCAAAGCTTTGCCATGGTCAAAAGCTTTTTCGTGGTTTAGTCAAAAAAGCTTTGCTATAGTTAAAAAAAAAGCTTTGCCGTTCACTTCAAAAAAAAAAAAAAAAAAAATTTTTTTTGCTGAAAAGCGCACTTTACAACGGACAACAATTAGGTGATTGTATTGGTGCAGCGATCTACAAATTTGATCAAAGATACATCATTTTGCAAACAACGATAAATGGAGATATTGCAATCACATCAAAATCCCTAGTTTAATAAGAATAAAAAAAAAACCAGAATAATGAGTGATTCTGTCTAATAGGAATTTAAAGAAAATGAAGACTTAATAATGTCTGACTTCATTCAATAATATTTTAAAGTAAAGACTAATTATACTATGACCCGTCAAAGACAATTTTAAAAAAATAAAGAGCATGTTAGTAATCTTTTCTAATGACAATTTTAAATCATGAAAACAAACCAATCTAATAAAAATGAAATAACTAAACTGGAACACTTCATATTTTTATCAATACGTGCTAATAAATGTGTGAAAAAAGCACGGGTTGTTACATAAGAATCGTACAATAAAACCCTTTAATCTATTTAATCTATCAGACATGAAATTCTAATATATATTGTATAAAAAGCGTACTGTACATGATTCTTAAAAATTTTAGCATTTAAATCTAAATTACGTAGTATCTGCCAGATTTTCCGAAATTGGGAAAATTCAAACTATACCAGATACTAAAAGCTATAGAGAATGCTATCACTAATCTTATGTACTATATCGTTAATTTTAGTCCATATGACAAATTAAGAAATTCGTATACCTAATAATGCTTTCTAAAAAAATAAAAAAAATTGAAGTACAGGTCACCCTCGTTAATATCAACCTCATTAATATCAACCTAAGCCACAAATCAAATTTTTAGAATTTTTATATCAAAATTCCCTCATATATATCAACTTCAATATGATTTCTCGTTAATATTTAAAACCAATTCAAATGGGTTGATATTAACGAGGGTCACCTGTATATGTATATTATATTAATAAAGAAAGGTATGAATAAATAAATAAGATCAAATAAAATTTAAAGAATCCGCGTATTGTAATACATTGAGAAATTTATAAAAACTTAAAAAGGTACAAAATTTCTATAAACGTTGAAAATGAAAACATTCTTCGAATATTTATTTGCCATTTTAAAAATAATTCTAAAATCATTATAATAAATCTATTCTACAGAATGATTTCCAGAAAAAAGTCGTGAAATAAAAATTATCCATGAATATAGTGTCACTACACCATGAAATGTTGTCAAAGCAATTGGACTTATGAACCATGAAGTCACTGATAAATTAGGTTCGAAATCATGATAACGACAGAAACGTGTGATCCATGATTCTTAAATCATTCTTAAAATGTATAAAGATTAAATATTCTTCCATGCATTTGGGTTTTTTAGCAACCTCTCAAATTATTCGTGTCATATCTTATTTAGAAAGTTATTTACACAATCTGCAATCGAGAAGTTCTTAGTACGCACGTACGTCAAATTAAACATACAGTCTACTCTTTCTATAACGAACCCTCGGTTCTGGCCAAAAAAAAAGTTCATTATATAGAATTACTATGTTTTCTTAATAGCCGTAGCTCTTGTTATACCGAACTAATATTAAAATTTAGAAAATTTGGGTTCATTATATCCAGAGTTCGTTATAAAAAGGTTCGTTATATCCAGAGTTGACTGTACATGTGTATAAGCTCTCAACTAAATCGACAACTACGTTCGACATAATTTTTGTGTTAAAACAGTTTGCTCATTGGTAACAGACACATTCTTTTATTACTTTATATCATTTATCACTTCACATAATACGTAAAAGGATGCAATAATTACTCAGGAGTATGCATGAGTATGCATGTTGACAAAGCTATAAATTCTTAAAATCTCCCATATCAGGGCTAAAACAACATAGTAAATACCGGCCATTCAATAAGTGTCGATTTTGATTCATATTATATTAAAATTTTATTACTCATAAATTTGATGTATCAAAAACGATACTTCAAACAATGGGCAGCGGTGCAGTAAATGGCCGCCGTATACTATGTGTCGTTTTAGCCCTGTCCCAAATCCCAAATACCAATAGTTTGCCAGCAAGTATACCCATGAGTAAACCGTTTACCGGTTAACACAATCATAGTAATAGTTATTATTATTGTTGTTTATCATGTGGCAATCATTCTTTGAATCTTGCATGTCGATGACTCAGGTTTATCTGGCCTATGATCCATTGTATAAATATATGTAATAGTAGAAACAAAAACTTAAATTCGACTCTTGAAACAATAAATTCTGTTGAAAAGATGAAGATAAATTTTACGAAAATTCATACATATTCGAATTTAATTGAAATATCAGATTTACTAGTATAGACTGAACAAATTTCTACTGAATATAAAAAACATACATTAAATTGTCATCCTTACAAAGTTAATGACAAAGATGGTAAGATTTTTCATTGATTATCATTGATTTTTCTTTCGTATTCTGAATACATTCTAAATATTTCTAAGTATATTCTAATGATTCTGATTCCATTTTAAAGTATAAATAATTATATATATATATTTTTCTTTTAAAAAAGAAAAGGCAAAAAAGGAGTTTTATCAATTATCAACAGCTTATAATATCCTTACTGACGAAACCGAGCGTTCTCAATATGACAAGTGGCATACAAGATCAATTAAGATTCCTTATATAAGATGTGGAAAGAAATGGTTATGAAAAAAGGTCACGTAAGTTGATAACCAATTTAAAAATTTGTATGATTATATAATATATATAATATATATGTACAGTATGTATTTTTTAACCTGCTCATAAATTTTATTGTTAGACTTAAAATAACCGACTTTTTAGATACATCTAATCGAACTGATAATAATGACAATACACGTGTTGAATATAATATCTATTCCTATTCTAAATTTAGATGAAAAAATCGTCAAGATGACTTATATGAAAAAATTTATACGTATAATGTAAAAAAATCATTTTACAAATATATACAGTATATAATAAAAAAATTTTTTTTTTACGTAATTAAAAAATTGTCATCTGCCACTAACCATCATTGCCCAGTTATAGAAGATAGCTATATTGAAGATAAAACAAGATATATAACCACAAATTTAGCTATATAGGATGTATATAAAGGAATTCGGGCGTATCTTGTGTAAGGAAAGACATAATGTTATTTGTGTAAAATAAAAAATATTGCGAATCGGTTAATTATCGGCATAATTTGTACTACATGGTACTCCATAGCGATAGCGAATGTATCCATCTTCTCTAATGCAACATTTCTAAATGCATGATGTCGTTATATATTTATTTCCAAATAATTTAACTATTAATTCGCCATCATTTGTGTTACTACAAAATTGTCGATTTTATATTGACACATCTTCTAAATGCATTATATTCAAAAGTACCCCCTTATTACGTATTATTATTATACTAGGATTATGTGTCCGGAGCGTATCATATGATGATCATCTCATTGCTCAAACGCGTGAATATGTATATTAAATTACAAATTTGAACACGCGTGCGGACAGACAAAAAAATTCAAAATTACGTTTTTGATATGATCTTCGTAATGTTTATGCAGACTTAGTCATGAGCATTAATTTTGGGAAATTTAGGAAGAGATGCATCAACAAAGTCACTATTTTTAATTGAAATGCAATTTTTGTATTACTTTGCATGAACACTAAGGGTCCTCCGCTACTCTCCGGGCAATAGTATACTACTAGTTTATAAGACCCGGTCGGTGACCGGGTTCGAGTTCCTAATTTTTTGCTAATTCTTAGGCCTCAACATTAATA